ACTCGAAGTGAGATAGGACCGTATTCATAATATGTGTGTGTCTATGTAAAATTTTAAGATCTGTAAACTACATAAAAAGAAAAGTCTGGAAAAACAAAATTCGGGAACCTTGATGAATAAGCTAAGAAGCCACACATATATAAAAGTTTATATATAACAGTCAGGGCCACCTTATATAGTACGTAACAGCATTTGATTGCAATTAAAGGAAGATTTTTCATGGTGGCGAGACTAATATCCTTCTGTTTTAATTCATTTGCTACTGAATTAAAATTTCTGGATCATTGTTCATTTTTCTTAAGTTAAAAATCACATTTCTTGGGGGGGGATGTTCATATAAAAACACTCAAACTAGGAGTATACCAACACTCAGACTACCAACACAATAAAAACCATATATGAAAAGCCCACAACTAACATCATACTCAATAGTGAAAGACTGAAAGCTTTTTTTCTAAAATCAGGAACAAGGCAGGGATGACTGCTTTCACCACTTTTATTCAACCTAGTACTAGAAATTCTAACCAGAGCAATAAGGCAAGAAAAAGAAATAAAAAGGAAGGAAGAGGTAAAATTATCTGTTTGCAGATGATATGATCTTCTATAGAGAAAACCATAAGGATTCCACAAAAAACTGTTAGAACTAATAAATAAATTCAGTAAAGTAGCAGGACACAAAGTCAACACTCAAAAATCAGTTGCATTTCCTTACACTAGAAATGAACAGCCTGAGCAGGAAATTATAAAGCTATTCCATTTATAATAACATCAGAAAGAATAAAATACTTGGGAATTAACTAAAGAAGTGAAAGACTTGTACAATGAAGAGTGCAAAACATTGCTGAAAGAAATTAAGAACACTTAAATAAATGGAAACAGCCCATGTTCCTGGATTGTAAGACTTAATATTACTAAGATGTCGTTACCACCCAACACAATCTGCAGATTCAATGCAATCTCTACCAAAATCCCAGTGATGTTTTTTGCAGAAATAGAAATCTATCCTAAAATTCATGTGGAATATCAAGGGACCCTGAATAGCCAAAGCAATCTTGAAAAGAAGAACAAACGGGAAAGAGTCACACTTCTGATTTCAACCTGACTACAAAGGTACAGTAATCAAAACAGTATAAAGACAGATCTATAGACTAATGGAGTGGAATAAAGAGCCCCAAAACACACCCTTGCATTCATGGTCAAGTGATTCTTAGTAAGAATGCCAAGACCATTCAGTGGGGAAAGGACGGTCTTTTAAACAGTTGTGCT